GAGTATTCAAACTCTCCCCCGCAAACGCAAGGCTTCGACTGAGGACGAGTACGATCTACCAGCCCAGAAGAGAGCAGTCCTTGCCCAAGTTCACGTCCAGGACCCCAATGGTGACTACTACGACATTAGCGGTCAAACATCCCCTTATTCTCCATTCGTGCCGACCCCTACTGGCAGCGCCGGCATTCCTAGCTGCGTTAGCCATGGCGCGTCTCCCAGACCCTCTGGTCACCACTATTCAACTTCAACTGCGTCTCAGGTGTCGTTGGCTGCTCCTTCTCCAAACACGCCTGCTTTCAGTCCATCCTTCACCACCGTCAAGAGTGAGCAGAGCCCTGCTGCGCCCATGACTCCCATTCCCCGTCCAACCACAAGTTCTCCTTTGAAGTCGTCAGTGCCCAAGCTGGTTCGGACCTCGACCATGCAGCCCTCACCAACAGCTTCTTGCTCCACGATAGCTATTGGACAAACGCAGACCTTCAATCCATATACATTGTCCAACCTCAAGGCTAATCTCAAGCTCAAAGGAGACTTGGACAGTATGAAAGAAGACTGGACTGCAGAGGAAAAGGACGCTCGTCGGCGTCTCGTCGTGTTCGAACGAGAACAGTCTGGCAGCACTATTACGGCGAGCTTCAAGCCAGTCACTCCCCAGGATCGCCAGGCCAGCAGCATTTGCATCAGCTGTATCTGGTGGAAAGAGAAGAACGAGTTCTATGTCACCTCGGTTGACACCATCTATCTTCTCGAAGCCCTGGTCGGGGTTCGTTTCACTGTTGAGGAGAAGAACCGGATTCGTCGCAACCTCGAAGGCTTCCGCCCTTTGACTGTTTCCAAGGCTCGACAGGACAGCGAGGAATTCTTCAAGGTTATCATGGGCTTCCCTCACCCAAAGCCACGCAACATCGAGAAAGATGTCAAGGTGTTTCCGTGGAAGATTCTGGCCACCGCATTGAAGAAGATCATTTCCAAGTACTCTGCCAGCTACTCTTCCACTGCGGCACCACTCCTCACACCTGCTTCGTCCATGTACGGCGGAGAGGGTCTGACCGAATATCAATATCCATCCTCGCCCCATCCAGAATACATGGCACATGCCGGGTATCCGATGAATGCCGAGATGGGATATCTCCCCCAAGCTGTCCAGATGCGCGTCCCTGGACCAGTTGTGACTGGACCACCCGAGCTGCAGTTGCAGGTACCTGAGTACGTCCCTGCCTACGACGTCAATGGCCAGTACATCTATCACAATGGAGTTCCCGTCACCCAAGCTATGATGAGCATGCCTGCCCATCCGATGACTGCTCCAGCCTCACGCATGCCTACCTGGGAATATGCCAATTTTGTCAATGACAGCCCAGTCACCATGGCGCCGCAAAGTGCACCGCCTACCGCCTACCCACGTGGACCCATGATTGAATCGGCCGAGTTCATCCCCCATATGCACTATCAACAGCACTAAATGAGCGCGACTAATCTTTTGAAACATTTCCTTTCTTGACTGTCTTTAGCATTGTTGTTCTGCGTGGCACAAGACCCACAACACGCATACTGGCACGACATTTCCTTTTTATGTCATTGGCGTCCTGGGATATCACGGAAACCTTGGAATGGGAGGTCGAATGAGTCATGTATACACAAAACCTCCTTGTACACCAGCACGAGCATGTTTTGCATAGCGATTGACACTTTGTGGATGTTGGGTCGGGGACGTTGCCTATGCTTACAGGCTCTGAAAGCCGGACAGTTATGGCTGTTCACTTTGGTGATAATAACAGAAGATTGGGAGGAGAGGTTCAAAAACGGGAGGGTCAGGTCAAGGTCCGAGGGTTACGTTCGTGTAAATGATTTGATGAAAGCATTAGACTTAGTCATGGCAAACGGCCTAACGCGAGCTGCCCACGCGCAGAAAACACATGATTAATTGCTCTTGAAGTGTTTGTTCGTGTTGAATTTTGTGCTCTACCAGGAGTTGGAGGATGAGTTGATGAGGTATTTGATGTTGAGTGCTCGTTTAAGGCAAGTGTGCCGAGACAGACTAGGCTCTTTTTGTCACTATAAACATTGGCCCGTCGCGCAGATCGCCATTTGATGCGCCATTATTGCAATCAAGTCACGCTTCAGCACGGCGCGCGCGCCAGAAGTCGTGGTCGTCGCTATTGTCAGCTAGTGATTCTCATCTATAAACTCAGATCCGCGTATTGCTTTCATTATATATCGCCCCAGCATCCAGATCGCTTATTGACTGGCTAAAGTTCTGGCGCCGCACTCAATTCGAATCAACAAACGCACGGAAAATATTGATATGGCCGCGGCGGTAGCGCTTGACACTCCTTCGCCACGGCAACCTTATGCTCTCAGCGAGGGCGCATCAACGACTTGCTTACGCTCGCCCCAGCAGACGTCGCCTCGTCGTTCGCCCTACTTCGCCAACTCCACGCCGTCGCAGGAACCGGACAAGGAAAACACCTCCAGCCCTTCACGCCCTTACACGTTTACCCCTCGGCGAGTCAAATCCCTACCTAGAGCGTGGGAGAGGCGGCCAGCGACACCGTTTGTGGCGCGAAACGACGCACAGAAGATATGGAAACGCGTCCCATTGGGTGCCATCGGTGCGAACATTGGGGAGAATTGGAGGAAGGAGAACAGGCGACTTGCCACACGGCCGGTCAAGAGATTGAGAATTTCCCATCTCGGTGGAGAGGAGGATCAAGAGAATGCCGACTACATCGCCTCTAAATGGGACGAGGATGGAATGACGACACCCAGTCCGAAACGAAAGGTGTTGGAATGTGGGGTGTTTGCAATGGATCAGGAAGATCAAAACACTTCCAATGAGGCTGACGACGGCATCGAGGACGACGAGGACCGCGGGATCTCAGAACACAGAACGGCTTCACCTGTCCTCGGAAATCACGATGGAGCAGAGGACCGGATCGAGATTGAAAACAGTGATATGACAACGAAACCTTTGCATGTCTTAGACAGTGTCACTCCTCCTCTCCAGGCAGCGGACTTGCCTCAACCTCTGTCACCCATCACTGAGTTGATGAACACTTCTTCCACCTCTTCACCTCCGCCTGCAACCATGCCATCCTCGTCAAATGCATCTATGCCGGCGCTCGACGAGGACCTTGCCTCTGGTGGAAATGGACATCAAGACGCACCACTTTCTTTCACTGTCTCGAGCATTTTTGGCCCGATTGAATCCGTAGCTAGCCCTCCCGATCACGACGATACAGCCTACCTGCATGATTTCCTATCTCGAGCTCGCGCACGGAAAGCAGCTAAAGAACAGGCAACCGAAGAAAATACAACAACGCAACTGGAGGAATCGGCGGACCCATCTATGAAAAATTCAAGTTCTTCTCACATTGAAGATGTGACCAGTACTCCCCCGGAAGCTACCGACAGTGAAGAAACACCAACGATTGTCGCCACAGCTCCAGAACCAGAAGTCAATGTCTCTCCTCGACGAAGCTCTCGACTCTTCACCCGACTTCCAAGACTGCAAAAACCTGCCACAAGCCTTCCGAACACTATCTCCCTCAAGCGGCTCAATGGTACCGAATTTATCGCCGCCCGCAACGAAGCTGAATCGCTTGCGGTGACCACCCGTACAAACACTAAGAGTAACAAGAACGGGGCAGTCTCGGCAAAGGTCAGGTTGCTGCAGATGGATGCTGAGCAGAAGGCTAGGCAGTTCTCGGAAGAGGCCGGGGCTGAACAGCCGAATCCGGAGACTGGGCCGACGAAGAAGAGTAGCAAGAGAAAAGAGGTGGCTTGGGCCGAGAAGCTTGCGACCTTTCACGGAGAAGTCGAGGAGAGCACTGTTGACGAAACAGTGATGGGGGAAGTGAGAGAGGACGAGGGTTGCAAAGCGGACAGCAACTCAGAGGTGGACAGCAACTCGGAGGCGGAGGGAGGAGCAGGAGGCAAGGAGGGAGTCGAGCAGCTGCGTTCGCTTCTGCGTCAACAGAACAGAGGGGTCAAAAAAGTGCGCAGACTCAGGAAATTGAATGGTGGGAGTGTGAACGGGACGCCGGCACCCAAGAAAACGACAAACATTCCCCTGCCTACTGGGTCGAAATCTTTGTCTGCAAAGGTGTTTGGGTTGACGGCGCAAACGGAAGATGTTGTGGGCAGTGAGAAGGATGCCATTCAGACGAGGGCGAGGAGGAGGATCTCCATGGGCGTCTGAAGTTGAGCCGCTACATGGAGATTGTTGTGCTCCTTTGAGCGTCGCTGAGAGATACCAGGAATGTATTCAGTTTGAAGCGTTGGAAGCGTTGGAAGATACAATGGGGTCTGGCGTCGGTCTGGGGTGGTCAATGGCGCAGGCGGGAGGATTTCGCTCGTCAGCTACGAGTGGGTAGCTCGAGTGAGGCCATGTGTCGATCGAGGGGCTACAAGGGAGCTGCTGCGCTTCTTTTGTCCAGAAGGCCATCCATGGGTGACCTGGTGACCAGATGACCGGGGCATTCCTAGACGGCAGGGTCAAATAGATGGCCCGATCCCGTGCCGCCATTTACCTCTGAGAGATACCTACTCGTAGGTAGCCATCTTGTCATCATATACTTGTACTTTTCCCAGACCTTGTAAGTGGGTGATTGGCTGGAGTTAGGGGATTCGATATGTCCAATATCCATCTCGCCATCTAATATCCATCCTCGATCCTCCATCATCCATGGATCGGTCTTCAGGCCTTTCAAATCCTCCCTAATGAGAGGTTAGCACCTACGAGTAACAATACTACCGAGTACCTGGGATTGGATGTTACTGGTGCTAGTAGTAAGTACGGAGTAAGGACTTGCCCTTTTCGAGGCAACATTCACTTGCAGCTGTGATCCCCCTCCCTACCTAGGTACAACAGGTCCCATTGTCCCATGGTCCCATGGTCCGATCCGGAACTTACATGTTGCCAGAGTTCCTGAATCGGACTGACTTGCCCGAATGTGTTCAGCAGCCGTGAACCACATGGGTTGGACCTGGTGCCTGGGTCACACCACCACTGTAGTTCTTTCAACGAAGGTCGACATTATCCTCTCTCCCAGGGCCTTCTTTTTATCAAGACTGTCAATCTTACTGTTTACCTCGATTGCTTTGACCATTCTCTGTGGTACCCCCGGGTCAACCTGAACCTCTGGTGCTAACGATGTCAGCAAAAGATCCATCAATTCTTCATCGAAATATCTTGCGAATGAAACAAGGTCTTCTCCTTCAATCAGGTCTCTCACTCCTGACTGTGCAAGGAGAAGCTTCACTATTTCATTGGTATTGTCGTAATTGTGCCTTGCTGCGTCCATTATTTCTCTGGTAATCCGCACTTTGGATCCTTGCTTCTTGAGCTGCTTGAGAGCAAGCTTAAATGTCTGATGGCCGAATCTTCTTGCAATGTCGAACATTGCTGTTTCGGGAAATGAAATTTGAAATTCTTCTTGGGTTAATATAGTCTGTAGCACTTTTTCACCGTCTAGATTCTCCACCGCTGCTTTGATCACATCTCCGGTAAGTGGCTCTTCCAGTCTCCCTTTTTCCAGTAAAGAGCCCATCACTTGGTGGTCGAATCTTTTTGCAATTGCGATAATGGCTTCTTCTGGAATGCGGATTTCTGATCCGTATCTGCGAAGTAATACTTGCGAGTAGTAAGAGGTAATAGTTTACCCCACCTTCCCTTCCCTACTCATGGTTGGCCATGCACGTGCCTTGACCCGTACAGTAAGCTTAACTTAGGACCTTTTAGTGACCGCCTCTTGGCACCCACGCCAGCGCTAAACCCCATCCATCGGAAAGGGTATAGATCCCCCCTCTATATCTACATTGTGATTATTTTGACCTTGTTAACATTGTTAGTTGGCCACCAGTACAAATAACCCTACAGTCATCCGTGGGAGAGTTTCTCGGTTTGCCCGGCTCCTTGATTTCGGGGTTCGGCGGAGTTAAGACGGTCGTGCATATTCAGTCACTCAATCTACACATACTGACGGAGGGACGCAATGAAGGAGTTAGGGACGGAGTCGGGTTCGGAGGAATTCATTCAGCAACCCCCTTCTTGATTGATTCCCACAACAGGGGAGGAAGACAGAGTGAGGAGGAGGAGAAAAGAGAGCGAGAGACACACACGGAGAGAGGGAGAGTGATGACGATGCGGACAAGATGATGCACATACATAGGTCCAATACATTCAAGAAAAGGTATAAGAATCCCCTCTTATTCCCCTCTCTCATTCTCTGTCTCTTTCCTCCTAGCCTTGCTCTCTCTCTCTCTCTCTCTCTCTCCCTCTCTCTCTTTCTCTCATATACACACATTGAATCCCCAACTCATCTCAGGAAATCCCCTTTTGAGTGGGCTGCAAAAAGAGAAAACAAGAGAGATAGTGCAACGAAACTGTCTATATCTCTCTTCATTCCCTACTGGGTATATACATACACCCACCCACCCATACACGCATTATACTCACAGACAGTATCCACCACAATGTCCATCCCACCGACCCACCGCGCCCTGCGCCAGGAAATCTACGCCGAACCCCCCACCGTGCAACACATCCCCACCCCGCAAGTGACGCCGGGGTCGGCGGTGCTGCGCGTGCTCCATGCCTCGGTCATCAGCTACACCAAGGACATCTACAACGGGGTGCGACGGTACCCGTACCCGACGCCGCTGACACTGGGACAGACGGCGTTGGCGCGGGTGGTGGCGCTGGGTCCCGACGCGACGACCCTGCGCGTCGGGGACCTGTGTTTCCTGGACGTGACGATCCGGGGCCGCGACGACGTCGACCGCGCCGCGGGCGCCACGTTCCTCAGCGCCATCGCCCACGGCAACAGCAGCGCCGCGGCCAAGTTGTTCCGCGACGGCTGGCGCGACGGCACCTACGCCGAGTACGTGCGGTGGCCGCTCGAGAACTGCTTCGCGCTCGACGAGGACAAGCTCCTGCGGAAACTCGGCTACCAGCTCGGCAACCTCATGTTCATCCCCAAGATGCTGGTCGCGTACGGCGGGCTGGGCCCGCTGTGCGTGGACCTCAAGCCCGGCGAGACCGTGGTCGTCAGCCCCGCGACGGGCGGCTTCGGCTCCGCCGCGGCGCACCTGTGTCTGGAGCTGGGCGCCGGCCGGGTCGTCTGCATGGGGCGCAACGAGGAGATCCTCGCGGACCTGAAAAGCGCCGTCGCGCCGGAAAAGCGCGCGCGGGTCGAGACCGTCCCGCTGACGGGAGACTGGGAGGTCGACTTGAAGGCCCTCCAGGCCCTGGGCGGCGTCGTCGACGTCTTCTTCGACATCTCCCCTCCCGCGGCCGCCGACTCGAAACACCTCAAGGCCGGGGTCTTCGCCCTCAGGCACGGCGGCAGGATGTGTCTCATGGGTGGTGGCAACCATGACGTCGTCCTGCCGCACGGCGTGTTGATGCGCAACGACATCACCGTCAAGGGAAAGTGGATGTACGAGCCCACGGACGTCAAGCGGCTCATTGCCCTGGTTGAATCAGGGGTGGTCAAGCTGCACAGAGACGCAGACAGTGTCAATCCACTAGGCGCAAGAGTCGTGGCCAAGTTCAAGTTGGAGGAGTGGGAGCAGGCGTTCGATGCGGCTGAGAAGCAGGGCAGGAGTGGCGGTATTGTCGTATTTGAGCCGTGATGGCCGCATGTGAGAATTGGCGACCTAGGGGTGCATACATAGCATGATGTTGCGACATGTGTCCAGCATGAGTTCGAGTATCAGTGGCTGGAGGAGGATCAAATGTCGGATCAGACACTCTCCATCTAGCCCGAGTATACTAGCTCCAGTAGAGAGAACAACGTGTCAGCTCTGTCCTTCCTCTCTCGGTCGTCTTCGATGCCTCTCAATCTCCTTGTCCCACCAGACACGGTATTCGTCGACCCACGCGTCGAGGAAGAAGAACCTCTTGAGGCTCTTGACCGTGTCCTTCCAACGCCTGGCCGGGGGATGTCGGCGGAGGAGCTCCTCAAAAACCTCGGCCTGTTCGTCGGCGGTCAGGCCGATGCGCTCGGTGCTCTTCTCGACGACCAGGATGGCGACCCCCCACATGGCGTAGTCGGGCTTCGCGCCGTCGAGCGTCATGAACGAGTCGGCCGTCTTCTTGATCCGCCGCCGCAGGTTGACCAGGAACTGGCCGTAGAGTTTCTGGCTCTCGTTGCGGTCCGGCTGCTCCCGCAGCACGAACAGCCAGCAGAAGACGCAGATGCTCCGTTCCAGCGGCGAGACGGTCGTCCGCGTGATCAGCGTCATGAGGTCGACCGACACGTGGTAGATTTCCTCCGTCGTGGCGCGTTTGGTTAGAGGGGTCTCCTGGGCCATGTGGGCGAGCCGGCACAGCAGTTCGATGATCTGCGTGGAAATCCTCCCCTCAAGGGCAATGTCGCTGAGTCCATGGGGTAGGGTCGCGATCTCTGTGCACAGTTCCGGCGAGAACGGATGCTTGGGGTAGGTCAGTTCGGATTCGGGCTTGACGGCCTCGGCCGACGCCGCCTGCATACGTTGCAGCGCAAATGAATACAATGCTTCGGTGCTAGAGGGAGTTTTGCAATTAGCATCTCCAAAGACAGGGCGAGAGGGGCGGCATAGAACATACCCTGCCAGGTTGTATTTCGTCTGGCGGTCAAAGTTGCCATGCTCCAGTCCGCCACGGAGCGAAACCAGCGTGTGGAGGCCTTTGAGGTGGGTTGATGCGTGGTCGTCGTGACCGGCGAAGAACTACCGAGGAGTCAGTATCAGTCTCTCCCGAGCAAGGACAAAGGGTCAAACAGACATCGGCAGCTATCAAACATATCACGGTGTGGATGGTGGTGTCCGAGGTCGAGATCTCTTTGGACTGGGAAAGCGTCCGATGGAGTTTCCCCAGCACGCTGGAACGGAGATGTGCAAAGTGCACACCACCTGGAACGAGGGCGTTGGGTCCAGCAGGGTTGGTATATCGAGCCATGGAAAGGATGAGTGCCTCGAAGAGCATGTCGGATTGCAGCGCCAGGGGGAAGAGTGTGCCAGTCAGCCAGTTTTTGCCCGAATCATCGGCGTATAGCGATGCATTCATGGCGGCGTAGTCTTGGAGGACTGGTTGGAGACTCGTCAGCTCTGATCTCTAACCAAGAGATGTTTCAGACCGCGTTGCACTCACAGAAATCGGCCGCCCATTCGATCTGTCCGGTCTGAGGTATGGGAAAGGACGCAAATGGATCCCTGCGATGGCCACCCAAGGCATATTGAACGGGCAACTTGGGAAGACGTCGCCTTCTCAGTAACGCGTAGATGATGTCGTCGGTAACTTGCTGACCATCTCGACCATCCCCGATATTCTCGACCTGGGCCAACAATTCCGAGTCGACCGTGACGGGCGTAGAAGTTCGAATAGGATGGCGCGCGTGCCATTGTGCTGCTGTCGGCGGGTGTGATGATCGAGGCGTCGAGGGTTTGGCCCTGTTGACTCTACGACCGCGATTGACGAAAGCGTTGATCTGCGAGCGTTTGCGGGCATCGCGCATGTCGTCCAGGTCATTGTAGGTGATGAACATGACGGGCCAGCCTCAGCCTGTTCAGGGGAGGGTTTGGGTCAGCCAGTCACTCACTCTACCCCGAAAAGCAGCCCTATATGCGGAGCCCAGGGAGTTTCGGGAACCCAGGGAAGATGGAGGCACCAGAGGTGAGATCTGATTAGCAAGATAGAAAGGGGGCCCAAAGGGATCCAAAGGGTTGGAACAGATTCCTCGGTATTTTTCCGACGTTGGGGCGGGGCGAGCCTAGTGAGTCTTGGGGGGTTTTGTATAAAAGTAGGCATTATTATTATGTTTGTTGATAAAAAGACTCGACCAGGTTAGAAGGCTTGGGTGACTCCACCATCCCCATACAGCTATCCTCCATTCACAGAGTTATAGCAAACTATATCTCGACTGCCAACAGATATTCTTCCAAAATCTCCTTTAGACCAGCATGCCCTGATCCCTCCTTCGTATCTTCTTCGCCTTGCTCATATTATCCTGGTCCCTACGGAACAGACGTTTGGTAACAGCCTCCCCCGCGCATGCCGGGAATTGGCTGTAGCAGAAAGAGCCACCGTCGGTGGCTACACAGTAAGACAGAAACGGGCATTGGGAATCGTCGGTGCAGGGCGTGGGGTTGCTGAATTGATTTGTTGGTAGACAGACGCCATCGCCGTCAGTTCCACAGCCGGAGATGCGAGAATAGCAGGTGCAATCTGTCGTGACATCGAGGCTGATACAGTCGGAACTGCTGGTGCAGGCTTCGAGATTTCTACAGAGAGTCATTTGAATGCTGCGCAAGACCCGCCGCCTCGGAGTGGGCAGAGCGGAAGAAGTATACTTACTCTGAGCAGACAGGGGATGGCGCAGCGCTTGTCGTTGTGGTCGTCTGATAAAGTCAGCGTGCATTCTCATTGATAGGTCCAGCCAGCACTTACCGTTGTTGTCGTCGTAGTGGTTGTTGTGGTGGTAGTACTTGGGGTAGTGGTCGGAATGGTGCTTGTGGTGGTGGTGGTGGTGGTGGTGGTGGTAGATGGTGTGATCGTTTTCTAAAGACAAACGTCATCAATCAGACACTTATATCACAGTCAAGTCCACTATACCGTGCTAGTAGGAATGCTCTCGATACACGAGCAGAGGGTCGAGACTATGGCAGACGCCTCGGACAACAAGGTCGAGAAGAGTGCAGCTTTGGGATCAACGGATGTTGACGTTGACCTTGTCGTCGTAGTAGTAGTAGAAGGAGGCTTGGTGGTCGAGGTAGATGGAGGTTTCACCGTTGTTGTCGATGGAGCCTTTATGGTCGTTTTCGTTGTCGTCGTTGTCTGGAAGTGTCGCTTGGCCTTGACCGGAGCTGAGCTGACCAGTGTCACAGTCGTGACTACCGTCGACGGTGGGTAATGACTGGTGCAATAGGACTGAGCGGGAGCATATCCGCGAAGAGGTGCGAGCAATGCGTAAACTCCACTAGAGCAGACCGAGCCAGACGCTGCGGCGGTCGCAACCAAATAGGAAAGTAGTAGAAAGAAGGACTTCATGTTGGAAGGAGACAATAGTGGCAAGATCAGAATGACAATGACCTAGCTGTACTCACGAAAGGGAATGCACAACAAGAAGGATGGACAGCGCTGCCTCTTTAGATTTTATAGCTCAACTTCATCACCACCCTCAAAAGGGACATGGAAGACGTATGGGCATCTCAAAAACCCCATGTCGATCTCAATTTCTGAACGAGGAGTGATCGTCATTGGTGGCTTCAGCCTCACAGCCGGCTGGGCTGAATCTCCTATCCATGGGTTCGTCATTGCCACCAAATCAGTGATTCTGGGGCTGTCTTGCGACGCATCTGGCCAAGTAAGTCTTGAAGAACGTCGGGATATAGACCTCCGGCACAAAGCTGTGACACTAAGTTCTTGCTACTTCACCCGTCTCAAAGAGGAAGGCCATGGTCGATTTTCCAGGTCGAGGCCAAGTTGGACGAACAACGGGATCCCACTAGTGCTCAGAAGAGGCGGCGTTGTCTGCGCCAGTTCCCCTCCTGGCATGAACTCGGGCCGCTTAAAATATCCATCGGGGCCCGTATATGGAAAGACGTTTCCTAACGGACGGACAATAGCCATGAGAATACGGATGAGGGCGAAGCCGAAGAGAACCATGTCAGGGACAGAGTCCGGCGCTCACCTGCCGTCCAGTGGGAACTGCAGACAGAAAGGATCTAGACACCATGGTGTAGGAAGAGGAGGTGCAGCCTTAAGTGAACTTGTCCATATTCATGTGTGGCGTTTCTCTGTGCCTGCTTAGGCGAAGCTTGTAACCGAGTCCGTCTGGGAGACGATAGAGGAATCAGGGATCAACATGGACGGTCAACGACGTTGGGCTGCGTTTGGCTGCGCCTGTTTAATAAAGGCGAAGCTCTGGACCAGCCACTAGCGGCCTTGGCATTGCGCTTATTTCTGTGGCTAGCTGAAGCATTTCTCATGCCGCATCCACATCCCTGAGTAACAGAGCATCTTCTTGTACCCAATGTGACAACCTCTCGCTCGATTCATATGATGATGATGTATGTGTGTCAAAGTCTCCTTAAATTCCGACCATTTCCAACGCAGAAAACGACAAAGATCCATTCGAAATCGTCTGCACCACTTCCCCAACGTACCCCATTTACGTCAACTAGTAGCATCGATAGTTCCAACGCCCCTCCAACTCCTGCTTCTCTTCACATTCGACGTCTCTTCATAAGTTTGTCCTGGCTGTTTCTGACAGCCTTTACATACAATCCAGCCAGCTGTAGCTAGTGCATGGGCCGTGGCTTGACCATTGCTTGAACCAACTTCAAATAACCCCGCCAACAACCATTGTTTGCGTCCAGGGTACGACATCGAAGCTGAGGAGGAATAACTACCCTTGATTATTCCCTCTCAAATTATCCAAAAAGGTACAACTCCAAATCGACCCTTGGCGATCAGAAATATCCATTCAGTGGCCAGGAGACCGTGTGGAAAGTTCTGTATCCATAGTAAAGAAAAGGAAGGGACTGGCTTCCAAACCTAGCAGAGACAGGCAGTATATCTGGGTATCAACGTCTTGAAGGAACTGGCAGCCTGGCATGTCTAACGCCTTCTGCAACATTAATCTTGCAGACATCTTGGAACATCGACTGGTGAATATTCCTGGAATGCTCCATCCGTCCATCCCACGACTGTTGCGGTGGCAGTTTCATGTGTGCGAATCGTGGTCTCCGGGCTATGACACCGGATTGTTGAACAAATAACTCACGCTTTCGCCATTGTGCGTCCGCCTGATGGCCTCCGCCAGGACGGGGGCAATGTCAATAAACTCGAGCCTGCATCCCTTCTGGCCTTCAGGAACCTTGAGAGCTTCGAGCTTGTCCTCGCTGACCGGGACCGTATTGGTCATGACCAAGCGGCTCAGCGATGAGTTTCGCAGAGTCTCGACGGCTTTCCCTGACAAGATACCATGAGTGACGAGCGCAACCACATCCTTCGCCCCGTGTTTGATCAGCGTATCGGCGGCTTTTGCGAGTGTGCCACAGGTATCTGCCATGTCGTCCACCACAATGGCCACTTTATCTTGCACCGTGCCCACCAGCGTCATCCGCGAGACTTCGTTAGGGCGGGATCGTTCTTTGTGTATCAAAGCAAATGGCAAATCGAGTTTGTCGGCCATGGATGTGGCTCGCTTGGCTCCCCCAGCATCCGGGCTCACAATAACACACTCCTGCCTTGGTCCGTTCACCTCCAAGCCGGTCTCGCTAGCATGCATGAGGTTTTCCCGAATCCATTTGACACTGTTAGGCTCTGCGTAGAGATTGTCCACGGGCACGTTGAAGAAGCCTTGAATCTGCGAAGCGTGCAAGTCCATGGTAATGACATGGTTGCAGCCCGCCGTCTGAAGCATGTTTGCCATGAGTTTTGCCGTGATGGGAGCTCGCGACTTGTCCTTTTTATCTTGTCTAGCATAGGGGAAGTTCGGTAGGATGGCGGTGACACGGCGGGCGGAGGCGGTCTTGCAGGCGTTGCAGATGATGAGCAGTTCCATCAGGCCGTCGTTGATGTCGTTTGGTCGGGTCGATTGAAGGATGAAGACTATTTCGCCATGAAATTAGGCTCCTGCACACAGAAGACCCCAGAAAGGCACGAATTCAGGAACAACTGTCCCGCAGCAAAGGGAATGAATGCCGTACCATCTTCGTCTCTGACCGACTCGCCGATCGTGACACTGGTCTCTTGGTTTGAGTATTGCAACACCATAATCTTGACTAGCTCGATACCCAGTCTGGGACACACGAGAGCACAAAAGAGTCAGCTTCGCCTAGAGAATGGACCCGACTATGCCACCCAAGGGGCCGCATGGAGGGTAGGTAGCGCATACCTTTTGGCGACAGCATGCGCCAGCTCCGGGTGACTGTTCCCAGTCAAGAGCTTGATCGAGTTCGACGCCATGGCTTCGGAGGAGTTTTGAGTAGATGCGATTACCGACGAAGCATTCTGAAGGGCAGTAACAAGGGCAGGAGGAACAATCAAGTCTGGTGGCATGGGATTTAAAAGTTAAGCTGATTTCGAAAAATTTACCGGGTAGGGATTCCCCGCGAGACTGACTCAGGCGCCGCTGGTTGGCGGCGTGGCGGGGCACTTGGAGTTGGGTAATTTGCAGCGCTGTTACTGGTCTTCCACCCGTGGGAAATCCTGGGCGTTCCGAGTTTTGAGTCAAGTCACAAGAGATCGATGTTTGAGAAAGAAGAGGTATACGGGGCAGCACGGCGAGGTCAAATATCATGGAAAGGGAAGAAATGACAGGGCAAGTGAAGGGGCACAGAGTAGTACCGGCGTGAGAAGTGTCACCAAGAGGTCATGTTCAGTCTTTTCTTCTGCCAGATTGACCCTTTTTCCCCTGATCTATCCCTCCCATGCCGCTTGCGAGACAGGATTTTGAGACGAGTTTCCCATCAGTATTTGAAAACGACACCACACATTCTGCGCTGTGCACACTCTCCACAGTCTCACAAGCCATCCCTGATCTTCAACTCCTGAGGCTATCATTCGCAGGGATGGCATTTCTTGCCTTGCCTCCGAGTACCATCACACAAGACCTTGTCTCCAATAGGCTGAGCTGACAACCATCGATTTTCATGCCTTGGTCGACGTAGTATGCGTAAAGCTATTGTGAAAGAGGTATCCTGCAAAAATCGATTCGGGCATCTACTCCTTCCTCATCGAGGAGGCACGTCTCTTCCTCAACTCGGTCCTCTTCTCACGTTCCTCATGCACACGCTTGGCCAACAACTGAGCATACTCGTTCGCAGCGTCTTTGGCGGCCTCAGCGCGTCTTCTCTTGAGTGCGATCCGGTGTCTCTTGTGTTGCATGCGCTGGGGAGTGACAAGTCTCTGAATCTTGGGGGCTTTGGTGTAGGGCTTGGCACCTTCTTTCTTAGGCACGACTTCGCGGCGGATGACGAATTTTCTGTAGAATCATGTTGGCAAATGTCGATGTAGTGGTGAGGTGTTTGTATCAAGACACATACCTGACATCATCTTGCTTGGTCAAACCAAAGAATCTCCGAATCTTGGTGGCTCGCTTGGGACCCAGGCGCTTGGGGTTGACCACATCAGTGAGACCGGGAATCTCTCCATCGCCCTGCTTGACGATGGATAGAGCGAGGACGGCGAGATCTTGCCCGACAATGCAGCCACGAACGGACTTGCGCTTGCGTTCACCGGTTCGTCGGGGTCGGTAGCAGGAGTGGCCGTCGGAAAGGAGGAGTTTGACACGGGTAGGGAGCATCTGTTATGAACAAGTCTCAGCGAGGATTCTTCGTCGAGTTTTCGCTGGCGCTTTCACCAAGCTAAGGGATGGCAGCACGTACAACACCCTGCTTCATGGGAAAGCCTTGCTTGTCATTACCACCAGTGATGCGGAAGATCTGTCTCGCACAATATCCGTCAGCAACTCTTTCATCCGCAACATAGCGAGGAAACAGATATGACAAGATGACCATACGTAGCCCTTCCATTCATCTCCTAGACTGTCACCTGGGACTTCGTTGCCCATGCGCTTCTCCATGAAGACGCGCAGCTTGCGGTCATCTTCGACTTCGATCAACTTCTGCGACCCGTTGGCCGGGTACGAAATATTCAACTTCATCTTGTCGACGGCACGCTGATCAGGACTGTCAAGACTGAGGAGAGCCCTGACAGGTACCAGCAGTTGAGAATTGGCAAAGAAAAGACAGAAGTGTAGGCTGTAAACGCTTCACGAATGTTCAGTTCAATCCGTGCAGGATAATTTCCTCTGTGCGATTTCCCGCCAAGCTTTGTCTCGCTAGGCCGTAAATGGATTAGTTCAGAACGAATATTGCTACGCACAATCCCTTTTTCCCTTATGCTGGATTCTCCCTCGAGCCATTCGACAATGACTGAATTATTTTAGATTCTGTGGCATTCTGCCTTGTATAAGTCTTGATATGTACTTGGTCTAGATAGCGACACCATTTGCCTGCCCAGCCCCGTTTCCATTGCGCAACTTTTCGAGCTCCAAATATCTTTTTTCTGCTTCCTCAATAGTCCTAATATTCGCTCCCAGCTTGTTCATTGTTTCAATCCACTCATCCTCCTCGACACTGTCAAAGACAATTCCTCCGCCAGCCTGCAAATATGCAACGCCGTCTTTCACCACCATCGTGCGTAGTGCGATGCAAGTGTCCATTGCCCCTTCATCTTCAATCTTTGATCCGTCGAGTGACACGTGGGAGAAGCCGAAATACCCTACCGCACCAGCATAGACACCTCGTTTCTCCTGTTCTAGTTCTGCAATGAGTTCCATAGCCTTGACTTTGGGAGCTCCCGAGACCGTGCCTGCGGGGAAAATACTTCGAAAAGCGGTGAAGCGGTTCTCGCCTTCTCTTAACACACCTGAAACCTGACTGACCAGATGCTGAACGTGGCTGAACCGCTCCACCACCATGAGTCGGTCGACACGAGTGGACAAGGGGTCACAGACTCGGTTGATGTCGTTGCGGGCCAGGTCCACCAGCATCACATGTTCGGCACGGTCTTTGAGGCTGTTACGCAGTTCCTCGGCCAGTTGCTCATCTTCTTCAGGGGTTTGACCTCTCTTGACCGTGCCCGCGATGGGATGGGTTATAATACGGCCAGCCTCTTCTTTTACTAGTAGCTCTGGCGATGCACCAACGATGCTGAAGTCCTCGCAATCGATGTAGAATAGGTACGGTGAGGGGTTGACTGTCCGTAGATGCCGGTAGATATTGAATGGATGGAGCGTAGTAGGGCGTGATATACGGTGCGAAGGTACCGCCTGAATAATGTCTCCTTTGGTCACATGCTTCTTAAGCCGGGTGACGTGCGCCTCATATCCTGTCTTGCCAAAGTTCGATTTAGAAGGTTGATTGAGAGCTATGGGTGGTTGGTAGGGCAGAGGAATGTGTTCTCCCTGCAGGAGTGAAACCGTTCTGTATAGTGTTGTGCATGCTTTATCATACGCTGACTGCAGGTCGGAAGTCGACTCTGACGACGGTACCCGCAGGTATGTGATAACCTTGCAGACGTTGAAGAAGTGATCAAAAGCCACTATTGTGTCGTAGAGCATGAAGAAGCTCTCGGGCAGCTTCAGGACGTCCTTCATCGGACGGGCCGTCTTGGGCTCAAAGTATCGGACACAATCATAACCAACATACCCAATGACCCCTCCGGTCAAGGGCGGGAGTCGTAGGGAGGGCACGGTCGCGACTCTGTACTGCGAGAGTTCCTGTTCGAGCCGTGGGAGCGGATCTTCCTCAGGTCCATGACCTGGGCCGGATTTGATGACTTTGAGGGGATTCGCCCCGACAAAACTATACCGACCAATTGTCCCGGTAGTTGCCGCACTTTCGTACAGAAACGACAGCTTCGAGCCCTCTGATACTTTTAAATATGCTTGTGTGGGAGTAAAAAGGTCGGCGGGGATTTGAGCGCATAACGGTACGAGATTCGGAGGGAATTTGGATGATCGGGACTTGGAGAGAATGGAGGAAACCTCCTCAAGGGAGGGTTGAACTTTTGCCTGGTATATGTGAGCCATGAAGTGAGATGAAAGGGGTTGTAAGAGCAGAAAGTACCATGGAGGAAAACCACAGACTGAGGGAACCAGAGGGGATATTATGGCCTGTCACTGGAACAACGGGGCATATCGGATCAGAGCCGCTAGTTCTTCAGGCTCGCCGTTTATGACAAGCTATCTCTCGGAGAGGAGGATTTTCATTACTCTGGCCGTACAGGAGGATTTGCGGTAAGCAAAGTTGAACATGGAATACGCGTGGGACTGGCGTGAGAGTCACCGCTGTCTTTTAGTTTTGGAGCGAAGCGTGCAAGGAGGAGTCCGGCACATCGTCGGCGCAAATGATTAATCGACACCCCACCTGGTTCCTCCAATAATCTATGAACGACCAGCCACTCAAACACCAGCCACAACTACTTGTACAGCGGCACATGCGCATTCTTCGCATCATTGCCCACACCATATTCTGCCCAGCTGGCAGGCTGCGCTCATTCACTTTTCCAACACTCGAGGAAATCATTTACTCGTACTCGGTGTCGCACATGTCACAAGAGTTGCACAATTATGTCCCTGGCCAACAATCAACCTGACGGCGCCGCCACTCCATCCCCAACCCGCCCCGGTTCAGCCTGGACAAACACTTCTCTTTTCGCTGATTCCGCCATTAGTATGCGGACCCGATCACCAGCTCCTCTCGAGAAAGAATCGAGTTCTTCGCAGCCTGGCGAAACGGAAGACGATTCTGCGATTGCTGACCGCCTCAATGGTCTAGTTTCTGAAATTTGGGCGTGCGAGCAGGATGCAGCGATTCGAGGTCAAAAGAGACGGAGGATCGAGAAAGCCATGGACGAGATTGAGGCTGCATTGGAGGAGGAATCGCTGGCCAGCGAAGAGAGCGATTGCGAGACAACACATCAAAGTCAATCCGCACCGTCACCTCTGCCTGGTACGTCGAGTGCCACAGAGGCTGATCTTGAGCTCATTCGCGTACACCTGACCTCCACGGTTGACTCTATGCGCATGCGACAGCAGGAACAACGACATTTGCACCAGCTGACAGTCGAAAAGCTCGAGGCAGTCGCGCAGCGCTGTATCCAACAAGAGCGGCGGGTGCGAGAGTTCGCCGAAGAGATAGTAACCCTCAGGAAGCAGAATCGCGACCTGACCCAGCACAATGACAGTCTCCGAAACAGACTGAGGGAGGCCCAATCCGAATCAGCCAAGAAGGAGACAGCGGTGAAAGCTATGTCGAGCGCAGTGTCCGGTCTAGAAGGATGGATTAATGGTTCCCCAACACCAAACCGACCCTCTCAATCCCGGAAAGTTGTCACCAGAGGCCGAGGCAGGTTTCGTGGGCGCTACTATGTGGAGGAACCAGTCGAATCTCGAGGCCACTTTGGGTTCGACGGGCCCCCCGATGTGAGGGCCTTGCAGGAGGGTGTCACGGCGTGGCTTAGAGGTTTCCGTGATGTAGAGGAGGAGTTGAGGTCGTCACAAACCGCCGCTAAAGTTTCTCGTGCAAAGGACTTCAAAACTATCCCTGAGGACAGTGATAACGAATGGGGTGAATTTGAGACAGCAACTGAAGTCTGATTAATGAGGGTCAAAGGGTTACTGGTGTTGCCCAACCTTGGAAAGTACCGGTCTTCATTGCTTCCACCTGTATGTTCATTACACCCGGTTTTAATATCTCTTTGACCATAGCGTTCGATTATCCAGGAGAGAGCGCCAACAACAATTGGACATGCATCAATACCCTAGATGCTGATGGTCATACATATTAGTAGTACATCGAGTCTCAGATCGAGCTGACACTGGCTAGCGCAAGGAAGATTTTCATCGTTGCAAATGCATGAGAGCAACCTGAACATGTGAGCGCAGCACGATGGAACTGGGCGGGATGAACGATGCTTACCTGAGATCCTAGGCCGAAAGCGAGCCTTTTACTCTGGCCGTCCCAAGCCAATGTATGATAAGTCGGGTGAATCGTATCGAGGTCAACACTCGCAGAGTTACAAGTACTCAGAATGTCATCATCCTTCAGCTGTGCACCCTTCCATAAGTTCTGTTCGTCCTTCCAAGTTGCCATCAGGTTGTGGCTATGCTCGGCGTTCCAGATGCGAGCAGCATCATAGCTGGCTCCTGCCAAGCAGAAGCCATCGGGAGAATACGATAGCGTCATGATAGGCGAGCCATGTCCGATGATGAGTTTGCACACTGACGTTAACGAATTGCTCATCACATCGTACTGCCAAACTTTGATAGTTCCGTCCATGGACGAAGTTGCAAACTCGTGTCTCGACGCAGGAAGCGACGTGCCAGGGATGCGATGCCGGATTTCGAGGCCTGTAATAGGTGAATCATGTGCGCCTCTTCTGAACACGTTCTGGGCTGGCATCCATAGGGTACCGGTGTCGGCGGACGCAGCAAACAAGATGACCTCGCTTTCCCCATGCCTGGTCCCTTGCACGGTGCACCTGATGAAGGTCCATTGGTCTTCCTCGCTGACATCCGAAGCCCACTTCCGCTCGATCGCGATAGTTGTGAAGGCGCGACAGAGGTAGACTGCGTTCTCCCCCGCAGCACAAACAATGCCAGCTCCACCAACAAATGTACTATCCAAATCCACAAGTATTTCGGGGATAGGGACCGATGAAGGTTCGGCAAGGCCGGATAATCGAGATAGATCCCAGAGAAGGATAGAGGAACCACCGCCGTGGTCAGGGTTCGTAGTCTCAGCGTCATAGGGAGCGAGGCCGAGCAAGCGCGAACCTTGTTGAAGCCACAGCAGAGAGGCAATTGCTCTTTGCGATGCCGGTAGGGCCTCGAGCATAGAGTGGTCCTGACCGTCAAACATATGTATCTGCCCAAAGCGGGCGCTGAACGTCGCAACTGCAAGCAGTTCTCCATTTGGCTCCCATGCCATTGAACTGATAGATTTTTCATCTCTCGATTCTAGCAGCTCTTGAAAGCTGGGTGATCCAACGGCGTCTGAAGCTTGGTCGGCAGCTGTCCAGAACCCACAAAAATCATCCCCCATTGCTGTCAGCAGGTTGTCGTCCCCAGGTCTCCATTGAATTCGACTAATGGACTTGGGTATTTCAGAGCCAGGATTGGGGGGCAGCTCAAGGATGGTAGTGGATGCGGAAAGGTTTGCAACTTTGGCAGGAGCAACTTGAATACCGACGCTGTGCCCCGTGGCTAGAGTATGGACAGTCGGCAGCACGACCTCAATGTGTGGTTCATGGTTGTGATGATCTGCGGCTAGAGAATCTTCATCGATATCCATACGCTCATCAGCCTTGATACCATTAGTAAGTGGGCCGCTCTCATCAGCTCCCGGCTCGGTGGCAGACGGAGATCTGGCGTCGGCGTGAGAGGCAAGATGGCCGTTTAGCATGTCCACGTCCATGGCGGATGAATGACCATGTCGATTTGCAGATGCTGAAGGTTTGCGCGCAACGCTTCCAGTTCGTTCCGAGCTAGGTGCTGTCTTCCTGCCTCGTTTGACAGCCGGTTGGGCAGCCAGGGCTTCCTGAAGACCGTTTGTCATGCCATCGCGAGGTTGTCTTCGGGGATCCGTGACGGACTCGATTGGTGAAGGTGCCGAAATGATCGGCTCATCAGGCCGTTCGCGGGGGGGTTTCTCGCTCTCGGGGCCAAAGAAGAACATGGATGGATTGAGCTGTTTCGAAGGCCGGCCATTCTAAATCGGGGTTAGTAGGTGCACAATTCCTACCTGCAGTTGAGTGGGTTGGAATACCTCATCAATCGTGAGCGACAAGTGGTGATAGCGGAGACCTTTTTGCACAAGAGAAACCAGGGCGTGGCCTTGGACACATTTCGCAAATGGGAGGCTTTCTGCGTTGACATTCCAATCGCGTTGAAGCTTGACCGCAGCCTCAGCGTAGCCTATTAGGATTGGTTTAGTGCGTTCGTACGCAGCGGTGGATCCCGGGAACGCGGCCCTACCTGATTCCTGAAGATATCTGCGAAAATTCGTCAGTATCGCTGGGAACAGCCCATAACAAGAGACAGGAACAGACGCGCGCGCACCTCCATATAAGATAATTCAGTTGGTCCGAAGTCAGCGGAGGAGGCTTTGCACTGAATGTTGATGCAGCGTCGGTCTCCATGCCGACATTCCGCTTGAACTGCAGGCCGCCACAGAGTCGTTTTGTTCGTGTCCCAGTTTGAGGAGTGTTAGTCGGCAAATCGCAGTCCACTGAACGGAGAATGGAGAGGCTCAGTCAACTGGACGACGGAGACTACAGAAATGAGACGTGCGCAAGATGACCTAACTCCTCCCCGATGTCGTTAGGATTGTGAGGGAGAGTAGCGATGGATTGCCGCTGGGCGAAAATGAGAGTGGAAGCTATTAGTCGGGCGCAAACAAAATAATGAAACAAAGGTCCTGAGAGGTCTCGATCGTGGGTTAAATGTACAGGTCTGAAAGTAAAAAGAAGTTTTGAGGTGTGCAGATGGGTAATGACCAATTCGCAATGGTTCTTGAAGAAGAGAAAGTGGTGATGGGAGATGAGTTTTTTGCGATGGGATGGGATGGGATGGACAGGGCAAGGTTGTCTGTCACTTTGTCACTTGTGAGAACCGAGAAAACACGCCTGTTAGCCACTAGAGGCCACTAGGCTGAGAGGCTGCTAGGGCGCTTGGGCCTGGGATATGTGGCAGCGCTTTGGGGGGCTTTGGGGGGAGGACCCCTCTAACTACTTGGGGCCACTTCGTTAGTGGGTTTTTGGCGGAAGAGCCAAGCACTGTGTCCCTGGCACCCACCTGCAACCCCCAGGGAGTCAGGGACCCCCGCTTGGGACCAATCAATTACCTGCAGCTGGGCTATTCGAGTTTCAGGTGTGTCCAGCCTTTGCCTACAGGTACTGAAGTGCAGCCAACCTGCTCGTACAACTTATCGTCTCCATCGACATGTCAGTGTATCTCGTGACAGCCGATCTTTGAGGCCACTGACCAAGGAAAGAGGTTTAATCCAGTAAATGCCAATGGGAGTGCTAATGGTGGCCGGTCACGAGGGACAAATATAATCAAATGATATGACAGCTGTCGACAATCACCTAGATACATCTTCAAAATATCCTCTTGCGGTGTTCCTCTACGATACTTACGAGCATATCCAGATCCCCACAGGATCGGTGTGGTCAGGATCGTTGCCTAAAGAAATCCAGCCACCAGTGCCACCTCCTCGTTCGTGCCCGTTGTAGTTAGCATCGGCTGCATGCGCTTCAGAAGTGGCTAGGCAACTAACTCCCTGCGCCTACGCCTGCGCCTGCGCCTGAGCCTGAGCCTGAGCCTGAGCCTTGGATTCAATCGACTTTTTGGGTTCCTGCATCAGAATACGACCTCCATACATACTGCCGCAGACATCTCGACTGTCCCGTGACGGTCATCAGCATCTCGGTCATCTCTGGCAGCGTCGGGATGTGAATTGAGCCCTTCGATCCCTCCGCAATGGCCATTCGCATCAACCTCCCTCCTGTCACTCGGGTCCTGCTTGGGACTATTGTGTCCTTATCCTTCCTCTACAACATCGCGCGATGGAGGCTGTCAACAGATAATGCCAGTGTTGGCGATCCGACAACGACAAACCCACCCGTACGACCCATCGTCCCATACTTAGCCTTGGTTCCTTCACAATGTCTGTGGTATCCTTGGACGTTCCTGAGCGCAACCTTTGTTGAGCAAAATATCCTTACCCTCCTCATCAACGGCGTCAATATTTTCTTTGGTGGAAAATACCTGGAAAGAGCATGGGGAACTCAGGGTTTTGTTTACGTTATCCTGATCTCATCTATAATACCCAACTTGCTGATGGTGCCAACCTACATCCTTTGGGGAGCCATTACGGGCAATCCTGAAAGAGCCATGACTCCCATCGCTGGTGGTATTTCGACACAGGCGGCCTTCCTAGTTGCCTTTAAGCAGCTCGTTCCCGAGCATACCGTCAGCATATACAAGGGCATGATCAAGATGCGTGTCAAGCATTTCCCTGCAGTTTTCCTCGCGCTAAACACCCTCTCCGGACTGATCATCGGCACCGATGTTGGCCTTTTCCTCGCATGGTATGGATTGATAACAACTTGGACATACCTCCGCTTCTACAAGCGCCAGCCTGATCTGTCGGGATCGGGGACTGATGGTCGGGGCTTGAAGGGTGATGCCAGCGAAACGTTCGCCTTTGCAACCTTCTTTCCTGATGTCATGCAGGCGCCAGTTGCCGCTTTCTGCGATCAGGTCTACATTCTGTTGTGTAATCTGAAGATATGCACACCTTTCTCTGAGGAAGAAATCGCGAGTGGGAATGAACAAGCCGCCGCAAGGGGGGAGGCAGGCCTTCCCAGTTTCAACAAACACGCCCGCGGAGCACGAGGCATGAGCAAACGGGAAGAGGCCGAACGACGGCGCGCACTGGCCCTCAAAGCGTTAGATGAACGGCTCAATGCTGCAGCCAATCGAGCTCCGGTCCAGCCAACTGCGACGAGTGCGCCCGACTTGCCAAAAGGACAGGAAATGCTCGGGCAGACCGACTATCGTCCGGATGAATGACTTTCTTCTAGTGATTGGTTACCCTCGGCGGAAATTAGATACTATACGAGTAATTCTTTCTGGGGTGGCTCCCTCTTTCTCCCTTGTCGAATTGTACCAGCATGTTGCAATGACATAGATCAACTACGAGTATACACCTCCGAGTACGAGCGTTCACTTCCCGGACAAGAAGAAGAGCACGTTACGAGGCCAATCTCGGTCTTGACCTTTGGCTATTGTTTTGTTCTTCGATCGCGGCGAATTCCGAGCCAGTGGTTACGCAACGTCCAACATCCTGATGGTCCTCGGTTTCCATGTAACCCTGTTGTCAGTTCCCATGTTCGCCTCCCCAATTCCCCGTCTTCCGTTATCTCATCGACCAATCAATCATGCACGCAATCTACAAGTACAGCTTTGTACCAATGCACGCCATGTTCCATTGAGTCCATCATGCTGTCACCATACTGATTACTTGCATTTTTGGCGAGAGCTTTTGCACGGTTTCCCTAATTTTGTTCCAGGCTCGACCTATGGAGTGCAGGTGCATGAATCACGCTCTGCGACTCGTCGAAAGCTCCAGCTCTCCCGCCTGATCACCATCCCGTGGTGTGGAGAGCATGATGGATTCCTGCAGATGCGAGATCGTCTTGCGAAGATACCCTGCCGACATGGTCCAGGCAAGAGGACCACGCCGAAGCTACTGCAGGCATGCTCCAGCTATGTAAGCTGGTATATAAGGTCGCTTTTTCCCTCCAGGATGTTCAGTGCAAGGAAGCTTATTCTGTCTTCACTACCAATTGCAGCCTCGTCTCCCCCAACACCCTCAGGTCAGAGACTTTAGTCCGACATGGCTTCACTAAAGTCTACCGCCTTCTTGCTTGGCCTAGTGAGTGCTGTCAAAGCCTCTCTATACGGTGAGAGCAAACAGAACCACACTTGCATCCTCGGTAAGTGAACATCGGCATCAGCCCTATATTCGAGCTGTTGTCTTTCGAACAACTACGAGAGAATATCTCACCAATTGCTACCCTCAGAACCTGCTGTTCTCTCCTGCTCTTCACAAGCTACTGCCGATCAAGTCGACACCTGTTGCACCGAAACCTTTGGGGGTCTTTTGCTCAGCACCCAATTTTGGAATACCTATACTGGTCTCGAAGCTCAAGGCCAAAAGCTACCACCCAATTCTTTCACGCTTCACGGACTTTGGCCGGACTTCTGCAATGGTTCATTTACGCAATATTGCGATTTGAATCGTCAGTACGATCCTGCTCCGGCGCCGAACACGACAAATGGCCTGCCGAACGGAACCGTGGTACCGGCTTATACGGGGCCGAATGTGGGCACGTTCCTCGAGCCCTTTGGACGATTTGACCTGTTGGACTGGATGAACAAGTTCTGGATCAACCAAGGGGCGCCAAACCACGATTTCTGGGGCCACGAATTCTCCAAACATGCGACTTGTTACTCAACCTTTGATCTGCCTTGCTACGGGCCGGAGTACGTCGAACACGAGGATGTGGTGGATTTCTTCGAGACAGCCATCAAGTATTACAAGAGATTGCCGACATGGGAGTGGCTGAACGAGGCCAAGATTGTTCCCAGTAATAGCACGACCTATTCGTTGAGTGCCATTCAAGGACAGTTGGCCAAAAAGTACGGTGCGGTGCCGTATATCGGATGTTCAGGGCCAAGATATAATACGACGAAGGAGGGAATGGCAGCCAATAGCACCGACAGCGGGCGCACCGTCCTCAGCGAAGTGTGGTACTATATGCATGTGAGTGGCATTCCCCAGGACAGCCCCCCCCCATAAAGGGAAAATCTGCTTCAGGCTCTCATGACTAACGAATTCTGCGTGTATCTAGGTTGTCGGACGTCCTCAAGACGGCAATTCCATTCCGGTCAATGCTACTGCTCCAAACACGACCTGTGCAAAGGCCAAGGGCGCGATCCACTACTACGAGCCGACGCCGGGCTCCGTACAGGAAGACTAGATGCGATGTCGCATCTACATACCCTGGGCTCAGGAATATTTGGTATACCTGAGATCGTATATAGTGGAGATAGAGACGGTTACAATTGTACATAGCTGGGAAAATCTGCAAAAGGAATGAGCGGAGCATCTCTCTCTATCATCAAACGAGGATCCGGTCAATGCCACATGGCGAATTTATTAATGACACGCACCGTAACGACCCGATTAGACGTACATGTACGAGTTAATACCGATTATGTACTCGGCTCCGTGACATCTTCCCAAATAGGTATTCATAACTCGGTTCGTGGCGAAGCGTTTGGGAGCCTGGCGATCATAATCATCATCGCAGGCAGAAAGTATGTGACGTATCGTCCGAGGACATCATCGATATACTTCTACGCCAGATATGTTATATACATTTTCGAGTATTCTTCCAATGCTTTCGGGCACGGAAATACAAGCAAGACTACGAGAAACAAGTACTGAACACTGAGGACTGAGTAACGCGTTCCTTGACAACCTACCTACCTACCTACCTATCTACCTAGTACATAGGACCTAGGACCTGGTACCTAGTATCGGGTACTGCCTAGTACATACAGTAGGTAGTGTTCCACGAATCCTCTACCTGTCGACCGCATCCAGAATCCTCCCCCACCTCACCCTCACCCACACGCACCGCCACCGCCTTGACAATTGACGCTCGACACTCAACACTCAACAATCGACAACAACAATGCCCGTCACCGAGCTCGCTCACCTGCGCCTCCACAAGGGCACCACGGCCTCGACGCCGTCGCTGCGCGCGCATCTCGCGCAGGCCAAGACCGCCATGGAACAGGCCAGCGGGCACGAATTCTGGTATTACCACTGCATCGAGGACCCCGAAGTGATATTCATCCTGGGATCGTGGCCGTCTGTCGAGTTTCACATGCGCGAGTTCATCCCCGGCGCAGAGAACCAGGAAATCCTCCGCCTGCTTAGGGACCAGGTCACGGTGGAGTGGATGTTTCATCTCGACATTGACCAGCGCGTCGACCCGCTGCTGCTCCGCCATGATGTCCTCTCGGTTGATCGGTTCTTCGTCAAGGACGGGCACAGGAGCCAATTCGCGGCTGTAGTACAGGACATCAGACACGCCTTGGAGTCAGTGGTGGGGGAACCGGGGCGGATCGCAGGGGGGTGGCGCCTCGACAGAGGATACGACCCTTCAAGTGAAGGCGAGGAACTAAAGGAACAGCAGTTCGTCCTCTTCACTGGCTGGGACAACATGGAACAACACTTGAAATATACGAATACGGAAGGATTTCAGAAGTATCACGGACAGGCCATGAACCATATGGAGGGCTCAGATGTCAATCACGCGAGATTGTTGCATGTTGGGGAGATGTAGCGAGAGAGGGAGAAGAAGACTCCTGCCTCAAAGCAAAGCATGAAACCTTAGTGATGTGAGGTGTTCGAGGTACAGCTTACCTTATCTCTGCGATGTATACGGAGCACACTACTTGACCACCACTTGACCTGGGTGTATTTGTCAAAAGTCGTGATGTCAAGGATGCTGAAATTGAAAACCATGCGAAATGCCCATCCCATTCAGGGCCTGTTGTTTGTCTGTCAACCTTCAGCTTCAATCGATGACATACGTTACCTGTCGAATGATGCATTTAGAGGAAGTCTCGAATCCATTGAATGCTGATACTGCATCACAAGTCGATGTGCATCCTTTAAAAGGTATCATTCTGATTCTCTTGCAAAGTTCGAGCGCCGTCCAGCAATGGTTTGAAACTGCTCCTTTCAAGCCGTTGTTGTTTACCTTATGATATCGTGAGAAGTAGAGGACAAACTCTGTCGGGTCTGGCTTGTGAAGCAGAGAAGTGGGAAAGTCTGTGCCTCCACGTTCGAGTTGTGATCGAGCTTCATCAAGGCTCAACAGAAGGGCTCCAGAGTCTGGACTAGCGGCAGCAGTTGTCTCATCGACGATAGGGCTATGAAGCGTCTCCTATAGACTTCCAGCCATATCTTTCTCATTGAGGATCCCGAGCTCCTGTTGTTCTTGGGGTACAAGGGGCTCGAGCGGTTCAAGGGATTCGAGATTTTCATCCACGGTAGATATAGACTCCGGGAGAGTCAGACTGGGAGGATGCGCGGCATGGTAATAGGAAGTGGCGACTGAGGGTCCAAAAGATGAGGATCTAATGGTCAGAAAGTAGGTTCCTGACGATTTGCTGGCTGATAGATCGATGGTTGATTAATGCCTGAATGCGACCTGGGGGTAGAACATTTGATGATTGATGACTAGGTTGAAGATCTTGACTAGACGAGGTAGTTGGTAATAGTGCAATACCATCGTCGAATCCTTGTCGCTTTAATAATGGCGGATCATCTGATGCCTCTGCGACCCCTGCGGCCCACTCGTGGTACATTTCCATGAGTGTACTGCGGCCATATTTTTCGCGACCTTGGCAATATTCATGATAGCCGTCGTAGTCCCTACCAGGGGTCGAACTAAGGAAGAATGAGATGTCGCGAGTAGTAGTTCGTTGAATATCATCTGCATGAACAACAACAGCATCATCTATGATCTTCCTCATTTCCTGATGATTTGGCTTTGGGAATGGTGACTGAGTCTGGATGAGGCGATTGTCAATTCTTGTCTCTTTGTTTGTGGCCTTCTATACATTCAAGGGGTTATCTTTGTCCTTGTTGTAGTTTTTTCCCATTCTCTTTTTTGTATGACTCATTGCACGGGCAATGCCGCTGTTATGCGTCTGCATAAGATGCTTTGGAAGCTGTGCGAGGTTCTTTGCAGACTCACTCCGGACATCATGTGAGACTAGGCGAGTTAGGAAGCCAGTCTGTGTACCGAGAACATCAACTGTGCTCCGAACCTGACTCACAGTGGCTGCGTGGTCAATCTTGAGTCGTTCATGTTGATGTTCATGAACTTTGGCGATAGCGGGCTAGTGTGGGTATTTATATCGCAATGTACGATCTCTTCGTCTTTTAGCAGCAGAGAGGACTTCGGGTAGTGTTTGCCCATCTGCAAAGAATCCATGACGCAGGCAATGACCCACCCAGAGGAGAATGAGATCGACACAGTTTTATGATGGGTCCTTGAAAGATTCGACACATCGCGTGCGATTGTCGTTTGAATACCTGAGAAGATTGTAAGTATTGACGAGTAGAATGAAAGGTTAACATGACTTACTTTTCGCCTTTCTCGAATTTGAGTGTGACAGTAGCGCTGATGTTTGTTACAACCTCCTCGTCACCGCCGTCTAAACGTAAGAGGATATCTTCATGTTTGGCATACATTGTCTTCTGGTTGTACTGTTCGTTTGTGCCAACGATATCTCCAGCACGAGAATCGACTGACATCATGAGGACAATTGGAAGAACTCTACTGAGAGAGAAAGAGAGAGAGAGAGGTCAAAACCTCGACTTCCCTCTTGGAAGATATGAGTAAACCAGGAGATATTCAGTCGCCGAAGGACATGAAGCGTATTATACTCTTTTTGTCGCCAGACTCCGCGATAGAGGCGCTGATCGGTGACGATTTGGTTCATCCAGCTGTTGATAAGAGTACCGATCGCGTGGGCAGGCGCCCAATCTCGGTGTTTGGTAGTAAGATGTTCCTTCAAAAAGTAGATGCCCAACTCAAAAGTCTGCTGTGAGGGGAGAGTTTTTTCCCTATCCTTTGGGTGATGTTCGCATCAGGACTTCATCTTAGAGGCGAACTATGTTTTCACCTGATGGTAGGCCTGTTACACCCTTTCGTTGTCTAGACATCCATGTTTGCCATGTATATTTTCATTGATGGCATCCTTCATGTACTTGGATCCCTCTTAAATAGTATCGTTAGAAAGACCTAGGGTATGGGTTGGTGGAGGTCAGTACTGGCAATCAGGGAACCGCTGGTGCTGCATCGATGATGGTAAACTCTGTAACAGCGTCTCCTTGACTCTTATCAAATCTTTCAGTAATATCCACTTCACAGGCCGAGCAGCTGCCGGTACGAAGGACATAGGAAATGTGTGGTGATGTTGAGTCAGACGAGGACATCGTGAATTGCGTAGACTGCGGCGCCGTAGGTATTAATTAGGTGATGCCTGCACCTCCGCACTTGGTATGGTTCGCTTCGGAAGGGTCGGTTCATCGCTGACAGAGTCGGGGCGAGCTCAAGCTGCCAAGTGGGAAGCTTGACGCGGCCACCAACAGCAGTTCCAATGGTACAGAGTGGTAGAAGGAACCTTGGAAGATGAACGAGAGGACGAGGGGTGGATGAGGGAAAAAGGCACACTAACCCAACGCCAGCTATCTGTCACATGGACCTTGTCCCTCCTCCTTCCAAGAGGTTGTGGTGATAGTATTTCATAACGTATCCCTCTTACTCCTGCTGCTCCTCCCGCTTCAAATTCTCCTGCAGCATCATTGTACCTGACCTGAGACAGACCATTCAAGCACAGATCAAGAACAATCTGCATCATCAGTGGACCTCGTACTCCATCATCAGCCACTACTAGCAGCAACTGCGCCACGCCATCATTTCCCTCCTCCTCCACCCACCAAGCAACTAACTAGCCAGGTCTAGGCGATAATCATCATCGTCAGCAGCCTCCTGCTTCCGCCAGGCAGGCACCCAGGGCATCGGGCATCGCTCAATTCAGACTTTTTGTGGGCTTGTGGGCTTTGCGGGCGCTTGCCTTGCCGCCCACCTGACGTTAACTGCTCTTACCTAACAACTTTTAAGGCTTCTTCGGACAGTCAGTCAATCTGGCATTCTTCGCCTCACCTCTTCTTTACCAAAACATCCCCCCTGTGCGCACAGTGACCGATCGAACCGGCCGCAGCTATTCGGTCACTGAGACGCCTAGCCGCTCATTTCGGGATCAACCCTCTCGTCGCCGTACCATAGTCGGGGTTTCAAACGAACTCGGTGACGGCTCCCGCACTCAGCGGTCCTCCGAGAACATCTACAGAGGTTCCTCGCTGCAGTCTGCGCCCATCTACAAAAAAGGAGGAAGTATGTCGAAAGTCGTGAGAAGTGTTAAAAATGTCACAAAGGGATACAGTAGTGTTCAGGTCAAGGTGCGAAATGGTAGGTGTTCGCTCCTAGCGGTCTTCCTTCACACACTGAATCAATGGCGATAAAGCTACCTCCAACGATCCATGGGGCCCGACGGGTACGGACATGGCTGAGATTGCAGCCCTCACATTCAACAAGTAAGATTTGTTCAATGGCAAGGTTGCTGCCTATGCTGATCCTATTTGTATAGCCCGAGTGACTTCTACGAGATCATGGATATGCTCGATAAGCGGCTAAACGACAAAGGCAAGAACTGGCGACATGTGCTGAAGTCATTGAAAGTCCTTGACTATTGTCTGCACGAGGGCTCGGAACTGGTGGTCACCTGGGCTAGAAAGAACATTTACATCATCAAGACATTGCGAGAGTTCCAATATATTGATGAGGATGGCAGAGACGTGGGACAAAACGGTGAGCAGTTTCATGGCCCTCATTTTCAGAGCCGCACATGCTGATTGATGCAGTCCGCACATCTGCCAAAGAATTGACTGCACTCATCCTGGACGAGGATCGTCTGCGCAGCGAACGCTCCGACCGCAAATTGTGGAAGGCCCGTGTCGCGGGAATTGACGAATACGCAAAGCAGGCCATCGCTGGTCCTACCTATCCTCAACGCAGTCAAAAGCGTAACGATCAAGCAGACGATATCCCCCCTGAGGAGGCAATCCAAATTAGAAAGGCAATTCGTCAGAGCGCCGAAGACGAGGCTCGCAGGCGTCAAAACGAGCAGGATGATGAACAAGATCCGGATGTCCTGAGAGCGATACAGCTCAGTAAGGAGGAAGCGGAGCAACGTGCCCGGAAGCTTGAGGAGCAAAACGCTGCTTTACTTGTGGATGACACGCCCGCGCCACCACCAGCGCAGAATCAGCCAACTGGATACAATCAGGGCTACCAACAACAGCCTGCTGTGGATTGGTTTGGTAATCCACTTCAACAGCAACCACAGAGCACCGGCTTCTTGAACAACCAATACGCCCAGCCTCAGCAGACAGGGTTTCAAAATGGGTTCGCCAATGGCTTTCAGCCTGTCCATCCGACAGGATATGATCAATTCGGCCAGCCACCATTCTTGCAGCAGCAGAACACTATCCAACCTCAGCAGACTGCGTTTCAGACCAATAATCCGTATGGTGTGCAGCCTTCTGGTGACCTGTTCGGAATCCAGTCACCTCAGCAAAATCACCTCCAGCCTGGAACAAACAACCCTTGGGCCAGTCCATCACCCCAAACCCCGGCTGCACTCAAGCCGTTGCCTACCGGGTCCAATAATCCCTTCGCACAGAGAGCGCAGCAGTCATCCCCATCGCCCTTCGCCCGGCCAAGCACTCAACCTTCGCTGGGCACTCTGTTCGAGTCGCAGCCCACCACGCAATTCACCCAGCCTTCCCAACCCAATCCAATCACGAGTTACTCAGCACCGCAGCCGACCTTCCAGCACCAACCCAACCCAATCACGAATTACTCAGCACCACAGCCGACCTCCCAGCAACAACAAAAGCCAGTCAATCCACAACATGCCAAGCTCAATGCCTTGTTGGCTTCAGGGGAAGGGCAGGATACATTTGGAAACACAGGCGATCTGCGTATTCCAGCCCAACATACCGCACCAGGAACGTTTGTCAATTCGGCTGGGCAAGGTCTCGATCGCCTGCGCGCCGCACAAACCGGCACCAACCCTTTCTTTTCAGCCCAGGCTACCGGGTTTGGCCAACAAATGCCAGCTCAAACCGGGCCAGGTAGTGCATTCGCGGGCGGGTATGGTCAGCAGAATAATCCGTACGGAGCTCGGCTGGCTGGTCAACAGGGCGGGAGTTTGATTGACCTGTAAACCTCGAGGAATGGTGCTTATGGTGACATTTGAAGGGGTCTGGCTGACAGATGGACACGTCTTGCAACACGGCCTGCTGTGATACGAAATTGTCCTCTGATAACCCATCGTTTTATACACGACGTATTGCTTGACAGGAGTTTATTATTAGGGCTCGAGAATCAACTGTCTGATGATTGCATAATGCCCCACCCCTTGAACCCCGGTTTTGTTCTGATGAAGATGTTTGAGTAGTCGTCCGAATCCCGGAAGGCTGAGACTGTACGAGTCTCTTGGTATCACGGAAGCTGTGTAGCTGTCTCGGGTCCGCAAGAGGTACATACATGCATAGGTGCAGATACTGCGTACCTCCCATTCCAATACCGAGCTTACATTTGGAGGAGTATTTTTAGCCGGAGCTGGAGCTTGTTTTCGCTTGGCCAACATGACCAGTCGCAGTTGTTGAGACGTTGTGTCTGCTTGTACCGAGTACATAGGGAACTGGGTACTCGTATATGTAGGTGCATAACCGAGCCGAGTAGCGGAGCCTCGTGTTATGATTTATTGAAGAAAAGCCGCAAGAGGAAAAGTCCCTCAGCCTCAACTGCCCCATCTTCCCAATGCAGACGGATAGTCGCGCTAGGATTTGATTGCTTTCGCAGGCCTTATGACGCCTGCGTTTCCCTTTTGTTTCGCGTCCTGAGGAGATTCCTCCACACTCCTCGTGGTTTTCTCATTGCGGAGGAGTCGTCTGTGCTGCATCTGGCCATTGTCAAGTGCGTCCGTTCTTTATCAATTTGCTAGTTTCGCCCTCATTTTCCAGATATTTGCAGGTCGTTACCCACCAAAACATACCATCTCGCATTGGCACCCATTAACCCTCGCAGAAGGAAACCGCAAACCATCAGTCACCCCCACCGATGCGATCGCATTTCCAAGTTGTAGCCTGCCTGGCGACACTCTTTCCCTCCTCACTTGGCCTCGAATTCACCTCTCCAAGCTCCGACTCGCGCATAGACCCAAGCAAGGATGTCGTCATTTGGTGGTCTCTCAGCTATACGGATCCCTCGACCATCGACCTTAAACTTGGCAAGTCCGGTTCGGACACAGATCTGACAATTGCGACGGGTGTCGTTTCATACACCGGGTCGTATACTGTGCCTGCCGGCACAATACAAGGCTCAGGGTCTGGGTATAAGATATTGGCTGTTGGAAACGGGGACACACTTGCCCAAATCACCGGATTGACGTTCAGTAGCAAAAGTGATCAGAGTTCAAGTGGAGATGGTGGGCAAGTGACGTTGGTTACAACAGCAACTGTCGTTCCAGTTGCCTCCACCACTTCACCTATCGGCGGTGGCACAGATAGTATCGTTCCAACGGCAACCATCAATTCCGTTGGCGTTGTAACCCTATCCGGAACAGGGACTGGAAGTCAAGTCACAACGTCCCTTTCCAATTCGCGCACCGAGAGCAGTTTTGCTACCAGCACCAGCGAAGCAAGCAGCGAGTCGAATGGCGGTGTTGCGGCAACCACTGGAAGCACAAATACTGCCAACGGGCAGAATCGACGAAGTGGTGAATTCGTCCTCAGTGCTGCTGGTGTGTTGGCAGGTGTCATTGCTCTTCTGGCATGAGCATTGAATGCATCTACATACTGTATATTTCACAGTCATGATATGGCGTTCGTTTATAGACACGGTTTGCTAGTTGATCTGCATTACCAAGGTGTTTCTGATCACTCCGAAGAGCTGTGTCCGGCTCGAGATCGCGAACAGCCTTGAGGTATGAAACAAACGCAGCCTGTCCTTGAATGAGCCATGAGATACTTCAATCCACTTTGCTGCAATAGAATCGTCTTACCGAGCTAATATTTTCTATTCCGATCCAGTGTTACACGCCTTCCATGTTAGATGTCACCGTGTAAAGGCTTTGGCACGATGGCACTTTATCATCGGATAACTCCGACAGCTGTGTCGACCAGGAGGTCTTGTGAAGGGGACCCAGTGACAAGTCATCCTAAGTGAAAATCACTCGTACCAAGTACCGAGTACAAAGAGACTATTCAGATGTGGGTAATTGTTATGCAGTGGACCTCTTCGGATGTGAGAAGGCGGTGCTGGCTCCAGTCATCTTGTGTGTCGCTTAAGCTGCAGCAATGGCGGGTCTTGTCGCAGGCACTTAATATTTATCCCTCAATCGTCGCTTCAAGCTCATTCAAATCTCCGGTTGAGGGCTTGCCAAAGAGCCCAAACATCGACTCCTCTAACTTGAGGTGTAAGTTTTGTCCAAACGGCAATGCTCATCCAGCAGCAAACTGTGGTCTGGGGTGCCACGAGCTGGGTTGGGTCATATGGCAACAAAGCAAGCATGGGATGTTGCGCAGCCTCAGAGGTCTCGGCCAGGGGCGCTGGGGCTCAGGCTGAAGCTGAGACAGAACAGCAAACGACTGTGCTCTTCTGCCTTGGCCACACCTTCTCCTAGGATATGCCCTTGCAAAGGTACAGTAACAAGTCTGTCTGCAGAGTCTCTGATTGCGTTCTGTCTTTCTTGAAGAAATCCTGCAAACTTGATCTCCTCCCCTCACACCGATTACAATCAGAATACACAGCTCGCGCCATCCGCTCTGCACTCCCAGCAGACCGCGCTTGCCATAATGCCGACACGTCGCGCTTCTCGAACGAGTACCTCTACAAAAGTCAGGAAACCTGTCAATAAACAAGTTCCATTCCGCAAGAAGGGACCTCCCATTGGGGAATGGGAACGGGTGAAGCCTCTGGTCAGGCGATACTATATCGAGGAAAGAAGGAAGCTTGCAGAAGTTCGGACATTGTTGTTGAATGAGCACAATTTTGATGCAAAGTGTGTTCAATCAAGCGTCGAAAAGGCTATGCTAATACCTTACTAGAGAACACATGCTAAAAGAGAGGTTGACCCAGTGGGGGTTCAGGAAGAATTTCAAAAATGCCGAACACGAAATTGCAGCAAAAGAAGCAAAACGTCGGGCAGACCTAGGCCTGAAACTCCCAGTAGACATGGAATTTGACGGCAAACCATGTGCTTGGGACCGCGTGTATCGTCATTTCGGCAAACAGTACGGCTGCTCCTCGTTGCGATCCGGCTCTCAGTGGGATGCACTCATTTCTAAGGTCGCCCTGAAAACGTCCATCGACGACCACAACATCGAGATGTCGTTAATTGAGTTGAAACGCTACTGGTCTGTCATAATCGCAAGAAACGAAACCTTCGCCTCAATCAAGGCGAGCCGTAAGGCTGCGCGGGTTAGAGACTGCCCTGTCCATCTCGAAGTCAGACTTCTTGGGGCGCTTAATCTAATGAGAAACGGCCGTGCCGATCAGGGGTGGCGAGAGATGAGTCAAACGTGCGCTGCTGTGTTCAATGTCATCAGACTCCAGGAACCAAGCCTCCTTTCAGCTTTTATTTCCATTTTTTCGTCCAGCTTGTGGGCTGACCACCCCGAACTGTATATCGTTGTCGCCAAACACTTTCTATCTGCCTGCCACGTGTTCCTGAAAGCGAAGCATCCCTTGATCAGCGTCTTAACAACACTCACCAATCTACCGCTGACTTCACAGATTGTCGACGACTTCACAGGGCTGGCTTATCAAGTGATGGTGGATACTGTAGAAGAGCACAAGGACCAGGTCAAGCTTGATGGCTACTACATATATTCCGTGGAAGATTCTCTCGTCACAGAGCTCGCCAGAAGATTGGACCGATCTAAAGCTTACGAGCTCGTTCAGACGAAGTACTTCCACTATCGCCGAGCTCTTGGGCCCCGAAGTAAACACACTCTATCGACGCAGCTTCATCTGGCAAAGATGTACCTATTTGATGCTGCAAGGATGCAAGGGCCAGATGCAAAACACCGGAGAGAGATCTCTGAGCAGAAAGGGAAGAAGATCTTGTCTGAGATTGTCAAACAGGGGAAGAAATACCCCAGGGACCGCAGTCGCACAGGCGCATACTGTATTGCTGCAAAGGATCTTGCCCGTCATCTTTTTGCACAGCAAGACTACAGAGGCGCGCAAAAGTACTACTGTCTCGCATTGTTTTGGGCCTCTAACCAATTTGACCGCCCTCATCCATTTGTTTCACTTCTCTTGAGAGAGTTCGACGCCCTCCAGAAAATGGGAGAACTGGGTCTCGTGGACATTAAAATGCCAGAAAACGAACAGCACAACCAATGCGGAGAAAAGGCTCGAGCGCAGTCGTGTCAAGAGATGGAGGCTTGTGAAGTATCGTGCGACGCGCAGTTTGAGTCTGTGGAAAGTATCGAGTCCGATGGACTTATTGAAGTCGGGTCTATTTCGCGGAGCGAGCCCACTTTGCCTCCGAATTTCACTTCCGGCGCTACACATGACAGCGGGACTGGGGTGATTGATGGAAACATGTCTCCAGGATCCAACCCTTTTGTCTACACGACTGAGGAAGACTTCTGGGCCCAGTATATGCAGGGCATAGATGACTCTTGTGCAGATGGTCTCGACATCACGGCACTCGATGATTTTTAGCCTTGAGGTGGGGTTTGTTAACGCTTCCATCACCCCTGCATCAGATCTCTTAAGCTTCCTGAATGCCAGCTTTGATAATCGCGATCTGCAGATGAGCGATGACAGTGAGCTCCCACGCTGTACAGGGGATCTCAATGATCTTATCCGAGAGTCTGAATTGTTTATGAACGGACTGCCTGCATAGAACGAATGCTTGATTGTCGAATTTGGCTTCCGGGACGAGATTGGGCCCCCTTTCCTCCCGCCCAGTAGCTGGACCCTCGAAGTGGTGAACTCGTCCTCAGTGCTGCTGGTCTGTTGGCAGGTGTTATTGCTCTTCTGGCATGAGGCTGAAGTGTATTCTACCTGCTTATACCCTATACGCATGGCCGCTGTTCTGCGGATACAGCCATGTGCTCAGCTTGCACCTAATGTTGTGAATGCCAAATATATTGTACAAGATGTAATTTCCATCGAGCTGGGAGACTTGAAAGGTTTCTGGGTTTCTGTGCCGATCGCTTCGTGGGGTCTTGTCAGGCTTAAGAGTGCCTACAGGACACTTGTGAGCATGTTGGTATGTGCAGCGCGGTGCACATCGAGTATGGATCTTCCCTCTTCTCATGGTCTGGCCGCTGCTTTAGACGTGCCATACTGGCGAGGCTGGGTAGATGGATTTGTTTGCTTTTCATCGCCTGTCACTGCAAGTTCTGGTCCGGAGGAGTTTATCGTTCACGATTTCCGCAACGCCCAGCTGTTTCTTGAGTTTCTCGGAAATGGGGTGTCCATGGAGGCACCTAATCAGCACGTTGCAACGATACAATATAAGACATCTTACAAAGTCCCCACACTCGGTACAGATCTTCAGCTGAGAGATACATAGTGATGGGGTGGATTGAATGCTGTGGACCGAGTTCGATTGCCGGGCCCGGAGGCGCCAATCAACTGTCTGCTCGCTAAGTAACCACTCCTCCGTGGCTGATCAGAGCTGGACTGGCCCGGCTGTCTCTGTCGTGACTTATGAGAGGACGGCAAATATTTGCTGAGGAAGAGAATGTTCCTGCACCGAACCTGTGAACACTGTGGATGTTATCTCGTGATTTTCAAGAGGGCTGCTTAAGATCATGCCGCCAGCCGTTGCGGTGCAATCTGTGGGGTGTTGCACCGCCAGGTTAACAGGGAACATGTTACTGCCTAAGCAGGCTTTGTTGCGCAGCCTCACAGGTCGGGCCATGGAGACCCAGAGCGAGACATTCAGGCACCATAGGGGGGCATCATGGCCCAGCTATCCTTCTCTTCGCGTCTTCTCTCCTTGAATCACACAGTGGGTGCACCTCTCTTTGATTGATGCAGATGTTTGCCTCTCAGTGCCCCGTGTAACGATATCTCGCAGGTTCTTATTCTTGATACCTCTCAAGAAGCAGGGTGTAGCCTCCTTTCCACTCATTCAACAGACCATCTAACCATGCCAAACCCTCCCGCTCCACGAGCGCGTACCCCTGCTCGATCTACTCAGTCCGCGGTCAAGAAGCCAAGCTTGCCTCGCAAAAAGGGTCCATCTGCGGAAGAATGGGATCGTGTCAAGCCATTGATTGAACGGTACTACATGGAAGACGGGAAGAAACAGAAAGACATACTCGTCCTCTTGTCGAAGGGACATCAGTTTGTGGCAGCGTCAGTCATAACGGAGTGTCGGCGTGAACACAGCTAACACTATTCGCAGTGATCACATGTTGAAAGAGAGACTCAAGCAGTGGGGGTTTAAGAAGAACTCGACAAAACAGGAGCACAAAGCCGCCGCCGAAGAAGCAAAACGCTGTGCAGACCTGGGTCTTGCGCTGCCCACTTCCGAGAAAGACGGTCGGTCGGTTGTGTGGGATCGCGTCTACCGTCACTTTGGATCCGACACTCAATACAGGTGTTCTTTGCTGCAGAGCGATGTCGGTTGCAAAGCGATGTTATCGAAAATTTCCCTGAAAGCGTCTCCTCTCGATCACAAGCTAGAACGCATGTTGAATGAAGTCAGACAGCATTGGTGTGGAACGCTTGAACAAGCCGAAACAAGTTCCTGGGTCATAGCGAAACGTGAAGCGAAGACGCGCCCAGATATCAAAGTTGGATTTCTC